AAAAGGATCAATCATCACTAGCTATGGCGGGAGAGAATGACAAGTGCCAAGTGCAAATGTGAGAGGGGGAACGCATCAGTCAGGTACTGTGTAAATCCTTCCAGTAGATCACAAGTAAAGTACAGTACAGTACAGTAGTGCTATCTGAAAATTGACACACTTCCTTGTAAACCGGAAACAAAAGGGGGTTTCAGTAAATTTGCGTGGAATTTTCCTTGTCGAGACTAGCAAAATCTCCATCAAGTCAAGGATTGTTTTTCTTGAAACAACGAAATGCAGAGAGCTTTGCGAACACTTCCTTTAACAAAGTATGCACCCTATTCAACCAAAAGCCCGAAGTTTCGGATAACCGGCTAATTCCCCTGAATGCGGATAAAGGGGTATGATGCAATAGGTAGGAGCATTCCTAGTTAATCCTACTTCAATGGCGTCTCAAGCTTTTCCTCGATGAGGTGCATTAATTTGAATGAATTATGTCGACCCTGTATTCAATATAGTCCGGAATATACCAAGTATACCCTACATTTCTGCAAAATGCAATCCACGAAAAACACATGTTCATCATCACAGAAATTATAGACGTCAAGGACACCTTATTACCGGAAAGAAATGTAAAAAAAAATTATTTCGCAGAAGTGCAAATATTCACAGACGTGTTTGGAACTCCTAGTAATTTATTTAGGTCTGACTTTTGTCTGCGCAGTATGAAAAAACACTGCGCTTCCGCAATAAGCAAACGAATCAGTTACGCTTCAACAAGATTCAAAAACGAATAAGGCTATTATTCAATATCTAAAAATAAACAAAAAATTACGAATATGCCGGGAGATTTAATTTCGCAAAAAAAAGGACAAAATTAAATTCTGTCCACAAAAAATTTCAGGATGCACAGAAGGCGTACATCACATCAAAAATGAAAAAAAAATCTAAAACCCACCAATGATTAATGACATTTTTGCGAGAGAAAACGAAGTGTCTCAATACATGGATCGTGGGACCGAGATTCAAAAAGATTTCTCTCTCTCAGACAGAATAATTTTATCATGGTGTGTTTTTCTCTCTTTGTTGCATTACCTCCTTATTTCCGGCTATATGTCGTGGTCCAATCCCAACTCAACCGATTTAACGCAACATTTTTTTTTAGCGAAAAAGGATAAAATTCGCGAGTGAACTCACTCAAACGGAGTGAGTTCATTACTTTGAAAAGTTGTGAGCATCGACTACTTATAAATAGTTTGCCACCAAAGCCTTCCTACTACTTCGCATCAACATAAGTATCATACAATTTTTTAAATTTAGAGAGCATCATTTCTTCGAAACAAAATCAAATTATGTCGGAGAGATCAACTATCGGGCGTTCAGCTCACCGGCTTCACCCGCCCATGCGCAAAAAAAAATTCAGCAAAGGTGTTCTCGAGTGAATTTCCAAAAAGAGTGACGAAGAGCACGGAAGGATATTATTTTGTCCTCGCAACGCACACGCTCACCGCACAAAAAGAAAATCCCCCGACACATGCAAAAAAAAATAAATAATAACCCGCCGAAAAGGAGTGCGCAGAAAGAAGCATGAAAGTAAAATGGATCAATGAATAATAGAAGCAGCGTCGCAACGCCGTGAGAAAGAAAAAGAGACGAGAAGAGAGATAGTGTAGATCTCGGGTCTCTCACCTGGACTGAAATTCTGCGGCGTCGAGTTGTTCAGCCCGCGGCTTCCGTCCACGGAATCCTCGTCGTAACTGTCGTCCCCTGCAAAAATCCGGGAAAGCAATCCCAATCTCATCACTTCCGAAAGTCAACCAATGCAAATACTGCACTTATTGTACAATCCTATGGAAACATACTTGAGATAAAATTAACGAGCAAGTCGTTGGACAGAGCACAGATACAGAAACTTTTCAGCTGCCAAACCACATCAGTCGAATAACACAAAAAAGCAAGCCTCCACTTGGGAAATTAATGCTACGGAAAGGGGGAAACAATGAAAGAAGAAAGTGCGAAAAGGAATAAGTCTCAAAATCGACGTAAACTCACAAGCGCAAGTAGAATTTCGAAGCGCTGAGTCTCGAAAATGCAGGTAAAGATTGGTTGGGTTACACAGAAAATAAAGAGCACGTCTCAAAATAGAAATTATGGATTCCACGAGGGATGAACTACTGTATCGATTTCAATTCTGTCCTCGCACTTTTTCTTCCGAAGACCTCGTGATGCCCACTAGTGGCACAATCAAATGTAGTGCGGTACAATACATTGCAAAAAAATGTCCCCTGGAAAGATGAACCTCACCTAGAGTGTTTTTGGTGAAATCGTTTCGCAGAGACATCGACTGGCCCGTGTCTGAGCCTTCGTCGGCGTTTTTGCCGGAATAATCAGCCGCGGCTTCCTGCTTCACCTTCTTCTCGAGGATGAGGTTTTGGCCGGTTTCGGAGCTGTTGAGCCGATGTCTTGCCCGTTTCACCAACGAATCAGTTTCCCGCTCAACATTCTGTCGTTTCCGCTCGTGTTCGTCGCTTTGCAATTGTGGGGAACAACTCCGTGCGAATCCGTTGACGGGTCCGTGGTTCAAGGACGTCTCATCGCACACTTTCTCTGCCAATCCTTTGATCTGAAGGTTGTCGCCGATAGCGAGCAATCGAGGCAGATCGTCCTCCGCTACGCTCACTTCCCCAGAGTACATGAACTCCACTATAGCTCTCAGCTCGCGGAATTTCACGTCGTGGAGTACTATCACGGGATGCTTTCCTGAATGCCCCGCAGCCTTCAGTTGCATCTACGAACCGAATAAAATAATGCTGTTTTTTTTTTATTATTCACGAAAAGGTTATAACTCACCTCGAAGAAGGGACTGCAGGCTGATAGAATGATGGAGTGAGCAGCGATGACTTGCCCGTCGGCAGCTAACGTAACATCCGTCAGACTCCCGCTTCCGAGAAGCCCGGTGAGAGCATTGATGACCGTGGAATTGTGGTTATTCCATTTAAGCGAGTAGGACTCCATGTTTCACGAACCAAGATGATCTTAGTTTGAGTTCAAAGCCATATGGCATAGGCACACCAGTTTTTATCACAACATTGGTCGCAACAGTTCTAGCTGTGTTCGGTGCAACTGTACACATTCACGGTCTAATCGTATCCTGAGAAAGGGGGAAAGGAGCAGTCTGAGTGAGATGAATTAAGCTGAAGAAAACCCGCGGCGCGCGAATTACCGACCCCAACTGAGCGGGGAAACTCCGAACTCCTGAAAGTACTACACCAAGTGTCGATAAACGACAGAGAGTGACTTCCCAACAGAGAGACAGGGCATCAATACCACAATCGCAGTCGTTCGTCTATTGGGGGAGGAAAAAAAGAACTGGAAGGGGCGGGCAGGGTGAGCAAATCTTGTCGGGGTTATGACGTCGCAAAATTCCAACTTTTCGACGATTGCAAAAAAAGAAAAAGCGCGTTTACGCGACAGCTTTGGCTCGTTACGACTACCTCGTGTTAATTCGAAATAAATGAACATCATCAGAGCCACGAGAAAACATTCATGTGAAATGGAATCTCAGAAACGACCCATTTGAATTGTTTGATCGCTACAGCGAATAACGATTCACACCGATTTCAGCGAATTCGTACCACATCTCATGAATTAATAAAAACATATGCGTTCCCTAATTCTATATTCATGCTGAAACTCGTATTGAAAGAATTTCAGAAACATAGGCCGCAAGTTTTTCATCGTAAACGCTTTGGACCTTACTAGCGTACGCATTCGGCAAAATCCGAATGCATCAGGCAAAAAACTAACAACGCGCACATGAATCTCTTGTGTCAACACCGTGGGTGAGGTGCAGACGTGTGTGGCACAGAAAATGTGCTTAGGTATACAGTCAAAAGTGATTGCTGAATATTTCCAGGAACCACAGAATTGGTGCTTAATATTCTGCCCAGCTTCTTATGCCTTTGAATAAGTCTGCTATATACAGGACTGTAAATCTCCACTTAATGCCACACAAGTGTCAACTTTGTTGCTTAAAATCCCAATGAGGAATAATGTTATACTAATTGAAGTTTCAATTTTTCTTCCCACACTATTCACTTGCTTATTTTGCACCTGCTCTTCATTTCTACAATTCTTCCTAGCTCTTAATTGCCTTCCTAGAAGCAAAAGAATGTCAGGGACAATTGTATTACTGTATAGTCAAGACAACTCATGCGCTGCAATTTCCGAAAAAGGCACGGAGTGATGGCATAATGCTGTCCAAGGTCTGTAATCCCTTTTACTGTACTGTACTCTAATCATAACCTTGAACTACAGAATTCTTTTCTCCACCAGAACTCGTGTACGTGGTACAGTACGTCCATCGCATAGAATGGCCAAAATCCGCCTCGAGGAGCGACCAAACATCGCCCGTGTGGAAAACGTTCGTATCCGGCTGCAAAAAATTTGAAGTTTCCATTTTTACGTGGTTTGTTTATTCTGCCTATCGATTCTTGGTCAATTTTCTTTGCTAGTTATTCACATTCACTTTTTTAATCGTGACAAAAAGCCTGTTTTCAACCGCAAATCGAAAAAAAGTGATGGGTTTAAAAATTGAACGAAGAAAAAGTAATCGAAGGATTATTTTCACTTCAGGGCAGAAAAACTGGAGTACAGTATTCATTATATTCTTTCGATGTAACAGTTTTGACGGGTGAATAAAGAATTACTGTAGACCCATGCATAGTCGAATTCCTTTTCGTCGCATGAAAGCCTTTTCATTGGTTAATCTTGGCAAGTATGAAGGCCGTTGTCCGGGAATACCCCGCACAATTTCCAGATCAGTTCGATGCAATCCTTTGAAAATTTCCTAACAGACACATTGAATCACGGAAAACCAGGACAACCCATTGCTTCAACGCCTGGTGACAAAAATTAACATTCACAGATTCAGCCCACCTGGCTAAGAAAAAGTTAGTTCCTAAGAAGGCCAGTGACACCAACAGCAAATCGGGAATTCCGGATTTTTTCGGAGACAGTCTTAAATGAAGTACTGTATTGCATTACGCCAACAATAAGTTCAGCACAAGTTTTAGCCTACAAAATCCTTATCAACGTTATTCGATTGGATTTCAATAAAAATTACACGTGACACAGCTGTCACAACAGATTCCTGCTCTAATACTCAATAATGGCAAAAAGAACACATATATAAAAAATAAAGGGGGGTTAGATCAAGTGTCCTGAGATGCCCCCCCGGAGTCCATCGTATTTTGCCATTAGACGTTCTCCGATCATTGAAGAAACGAAGTTCATGGAAAATAAACATACGAACACAATTTGTGATTGAAACCCGAGAAAACTGGAGTCGATTCCTTGTATTTTTCACCCACAAATAAAACAACCGGCCCGTAAGAAAAAGTGCCACATTTAAAACGGCAATTATAGCGCGGATACGAAAAAGCTTGCAAGAAGGACCACATCTTCAACATAAAACGAATCTGAGAGAAACGCCGTTGAATGCCGGGTTCGAACTCAGGTAGATAACTGGAAAAAACAGGTTATTTCACTTGAATCCACGTTCTTATACGATACTGAAAAAACTCTTCATCTTGAGAAAAAAAAATCGCAGAGATAAATTATAAAACAAATGGATCTTCCGTCAACCCGCGTCTCTCAACTCCTTCCGCTCCGTGAACGCGTACTACAAAAGCAAACAAAAGGCATCACGTAAAAAAATTACAGCCTTGATGACAAAAACTGCCCGCGCTAAAACTAATCGCGGACCAATTACAGCCACATTTGACCAAACGAGGCACAGTAAGAGACTCACCTTACGTTTCGTCCGCGCAACAATCCGTGCTCAATAGCGCCCAGAGTAATCGTAGCTCCTGCGAACCAAGGACGCGAAAAATCCAACATTTTCAGCCCACGCCATTTTTAAAGTCAAAAATCAGAGACAGCGAGGGTTTCAAGAAACGGGAAAAACGTACACGCAGGAATTAATGCCAAAACATACAAGTCCTAAACCTTGCAATCATCAATTTATACACCAACGGCGAAATTACATTCCCTGGCTGAACATTTTTGCTGAATTTTTGAAGTGCTTCACAGTACATAATAATCGGAAATAGACTTTTCATTACGGATTTTTTCAATGTGCCGATTTTGAACCCGTCACCCATTACAAACACGATCGCATCATGAGCACTTTTCTCATCCGATTAACATATCGCTTAAAGATTGGCGCATGTAGAACACCTTCTTCCGTGCATTGTTCATGAGCTGGACTTCACTTCTGGTAATTCAGTTCTAACATACATCATGTAATACAAAGAACTTGGATTCAGACTGAAATGGTCGAAGACAAAAATTCCAGCAGACTGAAGTACCTCAGAATTAATTTTAATTTTTCGTCACCCATCATCTGAATCAAGCCCAGGGCTAAATCACGAGATAAACTACAATACACTCAAAGTTGTAAAATATTTGCATTTGTTCTCCGGGAATTTCCCGTTGATCACTTCATTATCACAATTCAAGCAGCGGCTGGAGTAGAACACTAGCATTTATTTAGATCTGGTGCCAACGTTCTTGGCGAATTTCACAGCCAAATAAATTCAATCACAGCAAAAGGTTGACAACCTCAGAGATCAAACAGAGTGGGCATCACATAAAAATGGTCCAAAGAATACATAAATGTAAAGACATTTTCTTTTCCTGATGATGAACACACCGACAGACAGAACCTGTCGCATTTACCCAGAGATTAGGAAGCAAGAAGCATCAAAGGTGAAGCGGTACGAGAAGGAAGGCAGGAGGGCAAATGAGGCAATGGAAAAGGGGTGTGACCGTACCGAGATGACGATGATGGGAGCGCAGACGACGGATACGCCGAACGAGCCGAGTAATAGTCCACCGCAGCCCGCGACGAGGCCGAGGTCGGCGACGACGCGGCCGCCGCAGCCGCGGCTGCAGCCAGATATTCACGACTGTAGGTGTCGTAGCGATCCGCATAGCGCTCGTACCCGGACGCCCTCGCACCGACCCGCCGATCGTACAGGTTCTCGACCATTGCTGCCCGCATTCTATCGTACCGCTCGCGATCCAAATACCGGTCATCCTACACCACATCAACTCAACGTCATTACGAATAATCCCCGCAAACCCCATCCACCTTCCGTCTTTTCACGCAATCCACGTTCTCTCACGCAACAAAAGTGACAGACTGACATGACCAGACACGAGAGAACATGGTGCGAAAGAACGGAACGCGTAGTTGACAAATAAGAGAAGATCCGCAAGTGGGAAGAACGCGGGACTCACATAGCGGCCGAGGTACGCCGACGACGGATACGGGGCCGATCGCTCGCGTGCGTAAGCCGATCTCAGCGAAGTGGTCAACGCGTAAGGATCCGCGCCGCGGAGCATTGATGACCGATCAGCGCCTCTGAGTCTGCATGCCAAAACATCGTCAATTGCAACATGCCACGAAGAATTTATACCGATCTACGGACCCGTCCCACGACGAAACTCGCGCAGAGTAGCGATCGATCGGTGTGGACGCCGAAGGCCGGGCTTTGGGCCGGCTGCTCGAAGCTTCGATCGTCAATGTGTTACCGTTCAAAGTGTGTCCCTTCAAATTTTCGATGGCGTTTTCGGCTTCTTCGTTTGACTTCATGTGCTGGAAGAGAATGTATTTTCAGCGGCTCGCGGTACACAACAAAAAAACCGACACAACTACTCACAACAAACGCGTAATTCTTCACTTTGGCGCATTCTGTAACGGTGCCGTATTTCGCGAACATCTCACGCAGTTCCTCTTCAGTTGTGGTTTCAGTCACATTTCCAACGTAAATCTTCGTGGAGCGTCCGGTCTGGTTACGGCCACCTGGTCCTCGTCTGCATGAAATAAAAGAAATAGCTTGTCAAACTGAAATTTTTACCCACTTCACACACTACCGACTTCGGACAGTCTCTAGACCAATGTCCTCCATCGCCACAAAAGAAACACTTGTCTGATCCTCCCATCCCAGGCTTCTGGCGTACTTCGCTGATGGACTCTTCAACATTCAACCTACGACCGTTAAATGTGAAGCCATTGAGAGCTTCAATAGCAGTGTGGGCTTCCTTCTCGTTAGCCATGTGCTGAAATCCAGGAAAAACAAAAAATCAACATTTAACTTACCACTCATCCCAATCGGAGACGTTATTCATCACTTGTCAACGGAAACTTACCACGAAGCAGAAATTTCGGACGATATCACACTCCACGACCTCTCCATACTTCGCGAATAGATCGCGGATTTCATCAATCGGTGAATTGGGATCGAAATTTCCCACGAAGATCTTTGTGCATGAATCCAGTCGTCCGGGCATCTTTCTGTCAGCCAGGTTGTCTGATTTAAGGAACGATGGATAGGGAGAAAACACTTCAGGTAAATTGCCCTGAAACGTTAGTAAACAATCCTTGATGAATTCTGCCTGTCTTCACAGGTGATAAGCTTAGTTCAACAGTAACGAACTGAAACACACTGGGGTAATCACTGAAATCTTCACGGTCCGCGGCAGGACGCGTTGCACGGAGTTTGCGACCATTTTAAGGCTTTACTACCATTTTGGAAGAGCTACGGTCTGGGGGATGTCGCCATCGTGCATTCTTCTGCCGCAGGCCTAAGGCACAAGTCTTTATTTTCTTGAAATACTTTTCGTTATTGTGACTGATGCGATAAGCATGCGTACGAAAATGATTATGTTAACTGCAGTATAGTGTTTTATGGAATCACGTAGAATTCCCTCTCGTTTCTAAAAGTTCAGATGTGGTACACGCTTATGTGGTGGCGCTTATGTATACGCAGGAATAAACATTGTATTTGATGAACAGTACTTTACTAAGAAAATGGTAAAAATACTGGTACATCAATAACCTGGCCGGTGAGAAAAGTTGTTCTATAACCTGGCCAAATCATTTCAATGAAATATACAATGCATCCGTTGAAATTTTGAAAATGCGTCCTACTCAGTTTCGTCATTCTCTTTCAGAAAACTTGGAGAGTGCAGGGATCCCTGTTTTGTGCCGCCCATTCTGCGCTGCAAAATCTATTACAATTGAGTGATTTGACGTTTGTTGCTGTTGAATCAGGTCAGTGCAAGTGCATGCATTATGGAGTGGTCACGGCAGCTGAAATTCAAGATTGCGTCCATTTCCACCTTTACACTCATGTACATGGACGAAAAAATGATTTAGAGCTTAGTGAGGTTAGAAGTTCGCGGACAGAGGAAGGCAGTGGTGTGATGGTGATGTTTTGAAAGAAGGACCAAATTCTTTTTGTCATGCTTCAAAAATGTTTTCCAGACCGAAAACAAAGTCTGAAAGTTGATCGATGAATCAAACGCTGAATTGTAAACATTTTGAAATTGCGGCGTCGTAGCTAGAGTTGGCTGAAATGCGGACTGAAACCGCTGGAAGTGTGAATATAGTTTTCACCTTGTTTCAGAATGCATTGAAATTGAATGCGATCATCTGGCCAGTGAAACCACGGAAAAGCCGAACTTCCCCACGAAAAGCGAAAGACTATGATGTTGGGCCGCGCGGGACGATTATTGGGCGTGTGTGGATAAAGAAAATATGAGTGAAGATATGCTTGCTCAAAGTTCGGAGAGGCGTTCTGCTCGTCTTGCCCATTGCAATGGGTGAAGCTGCATGTTATAAATTTTTTATAAAAAAAATTTGTTATAACAAAATTATTTTCAACAGAACATTAGTTATTACAACAAAATTCATTTATAACAAATGATCTGTTATATTTAATTTTTGTTAAATTTAAATTTAAATTTTTGTTATAACCAAACAAAAATTTTTTATAACAAAATTTCTTTTATGAGAAAAATCGGTTTTTTTATAACAAAAATTCGTTATAACAGAACAAAAATTAATTACAACAGATCATTTGTTATCACAGAATTTTCTTTATAACTGAACACAAATTCATTATAACGAAATTTCTTTTATCAAAAATTTGTTCTTTTTGTTGTTATAACGAAAATTTGTTATAACAAAATTTCTTTTATTACAAAAATTTGTAATTTTTTGTTATAACGAATTTTCGTGGATGACGTGGCGGAGTCGAGTCCCCTGGTGCATCGGAGGTCGTCGTCGCCTGTCAATGGCGCCGAGGACGACGCCGATGCCGTGGTCATTCGTGGCGGCGGTGAATGACAGTGGTCTATTAATTCATCTCGGGGACGGTGACTCCTTCCCCTCTTGCACGTAGTAAATCTCGATTCTGAGGTGTGACTGATGTGTGTGTTTTTTTCATTTGCCTACTCGCGTCAAATTCGCTTGCAGGTGTTCAACATCCCTGCTGAATTCCTCCGTGACTGCCGAAAGTGAGTTTGTGATGTTTTTTTTAAATTTTGTTTTATTTGTATCGTAATGTACCTGTAATGCATCGGAATTGCTTTTTTCTTGATTTTTTCTGGATGAATAAGATCCGATGCGTGATTTCGGAGTTTAGAAAGGGTGGCTCGTGGCAATACTATAAGTGGAGTTCCAATTAACATGTGTTATGTTGGGTGTGCAAAAAGTTACTGGGGATCGTAAGAGTCAAAAGTTGATCGATGAATCAAACGCTGAATTGTAAACATTTTGAAATTGCGGCGTCGTAGCTAGAGTTGGCTGAAATGCGGACTGAAACCGCTGGAAGTGTGAATATAGTTTTCACCTTGTTTCAGAATACATTGAAATTGAATGCGATCATCTGGCCAGTGAAACCGCGGAAAAGCCGAACTTCCCCGCGAAAAGCGAAAGACTATGATTTTGCGCCGCGCGAGACGATTATTGGGCGTGTGTGGATAAAGAAAATATGAGTGAAGATATGCTTGCTCAAAGTTCGGAGAGGCGTTCTGCTCGTCTTGCCCATTGCAATGGATGAAGCTGCATGTTATAAATTTTTTATAAAAAAAATTTGTTATAACAAAATTATTTTCAACAGAACATTAGTTACAACAAAATTCATTTATAACAAATGATCTGTTATATTTAATTTTTGTTAAATTTAAATTTAAATTTTTGTTATAACCAAACAAAAATTTGTTATAACAAAATTTCTTTTATGAGAAAAATCGGTGTTTTTATAACAAAAATTCGTTATAACAGAACAAAAATTAATTACAACAGATCATTTGTTATCACAGAATTTCCTTTATAACTGAACACAAATTCATTATAACGAAATTTCTTTTATAACAAAAATTCGTCTGTTTTGTTGTTCTAATGAAAATTTGTAATAACGAAATTTCTTTTATCAAAAATTTGTTCTTTTTGCTGTTATAACGAAAATTTGTTATAACAAAATTTCTTTTATTACAAAAATTTGTAATTTTTTGTTATAACGAATTTTTGTGGGTGAGGTGGCGGAGTCGAGTCCCCTGGTGCATCGGAGGTCGTCGTCGCCTGTCAATGGCGCCGAGGACGACGCCGATGCCTGGTCATTCGTGGCGGCGGTGAATGACAGTGGTCTATTCGCGGGGACGGTGACTCCTTCCCCTCTTGCACGATGTAAATCTCGATTCTTAGGTGTGACTGATGTGTGTGTTTTTTTCATTTGCCTACTCGCGTCAAATTCGCTTGCAGGTGTTCAACATCCCTGTTGAATTCCTCCGTGACTGCCGAAAGTGAGTTTGTGATGTTTTTTTTTTAAATTTTGTTTTATTTGTATCGTAATGTACCTGTAATGCATCGGAATTGCTTTTTTCTTGATTTTTTTTTCTGAATGAATAAGATCCGATGCGTGATTTCGGAGTTTAGAAAGGGTGGCTCGTGGCAATACTATAAGTGGAGTTCCAATTAACATGTGTTATGTTGGGTGTGCAAAAAGTTACTGGGGATCGTAAGAGTCAGGGTTTATGGAGATGTCTGAAAGTTTTCAACGTTATCTTGAACCTGGTGAATATTTTCATAAGATTTGAGAACTACCGAAAAGAATGACAGGTAATTTTTGGGGGAATAATTTTAAATAGAACTATACTTTTGTGCCTGCCAGCGACCGACTAATAGTGTATTTATCCATAACATGTCGTTGTAATGGGAAAACATTGAACTCAAATTCGTCTTTCTCAAGGACATCTGCCCTCAACTGAAAAAAGAATAAAAGAAAATGAAGGCCATATGGATGGACAAAGAGAAAATTGGAATTTTCCGCTGCACAGTGACTGTTTGGACACTTATTTTTCAAGTGATATGGCCTTGGATAGGAGAAGGAAAGTTCTCTTGCGAGAGTTGCTTCGGTAGCATGTGTTTGAGGAGTATTTCCTGCCAGATTTTGTTTGCACTCACAATTTTGGCAGCGAGTAACTCAACTGAGCTAGCTGTGTGTGAGGCTTTAAATAAATTCGTGTCGCACATTCCGCTGATGAGGTGATTACCTAAATGCAAGCTCGGTCACGGACAAATTTCGCCGGAATACCTCTCGAGCAGGTTGATGATGGCTCCAGAACGCGGTTCATCCTCCATGAATGAAATCATTTTGTTTTTGTGGATGATGATGATTTCAGCACGCATTGGTGCAAATTAACCTTGTGTATTTGCCATGCTAATGCGTGCTTTTTTTTAACGCGCGGATGATCTCTCTGTGGTGCGTGATGTGTCACACATTCATTTTTTCGTACCGCCAAAAACTTGTGCTATTGTCTATCGCCTGCCGCTTTGCGCCGCATTTACGCATGCCTCGACCCCTTTCGATTTGAAAGAAGGGAAAGAGAGAAAAAGCTCGTATTTTGCAAGTCTGTTTCTTTTGTTGTTGTTGTTGTGGTTTATTTCTGCTGAGACTTGGACGAACGATCGATTTTATGCAATGGCGGGATCCGTATATAGAGAGGCTGTGGTATAGACTATAGAGTCACGCGACTTCCGAGCGCAGAGAAATTTCGGGAAAGAGGAAACTAGTCGATGTGCTTTTTTTTTAGCGAGTTAATCAAACGGGGTCGTGGCGAACAAAATTCGGGGGGTGCGGTTTTGCTTTGTGATGCGTTTTTTGGCTACTTAACGTTGTTCCACTTTTTTCCACATTTCGCTGATTTTAATGAAGGTTTTGGAACCCGGTGGTTTACTATAGCTTATTATATGGAACGAAAGAAGGGCTTTTTGACAAATTAGAGGAACCCGCTGGAAAGGAGGAGGGGTTTTGCTCTTGGTTGTTGGAGGGAGCTATACGACTCAGGACGCGTCTAATTGACCTTTCATATGACGTCAGGTTGTTGCAAATTGATATGACCGCAAAGGTCATTGAAGCAAAAGTTGAGAATTATTATTCAATTTTTCTCCTGTGTGAGCTTCTCCTTTCTCAAGTTTGTACTGTATCTATACGTGTTTTAATTTAAAAGTACGGTTATGTCTAGTACAGTATTAGCTTGTATTTTGTCAAGCTAATCATCCATGCAGTCAATTGAAAAAGCAGCTTCCGGCTTTTCCCCCGTTTTCTTTTCAACTCGTGATCCCTTGCCTGAATTTCGCTATATTTTGTTCCGTTTGCAATGTTTAGGAAAGACTTGGATCAAAAATTACGCTTAAATTGAAGTACAGTACTAAACCTCCATCAGTGATGTACTGTACAGTGAATCACAACCTTGAATCGAAAAGTAAGAGGGATTCTTGATGAATCAATGCAGTTATAGTGGGCTTCATTTTCTGTGAATTTTTTTTTCGAATGTGATGATGAAACCTGTCAAGTTGTAATTGATGAAATCACAGGTGGACTATATCTTCTACAAGGAGATTCCAGGGATAAGGAAATCAAAATTTTTTGCAGAGAACCCTCATACAGTACTGTACTGTAACATGCTGGAGAGAGAAAACCGTATGGGACCAGGCAAAACATCGTTGTAAAGAGAGTCCACCTGTACAATATGCGGAGTGCAGTATTATGTAAATGAGAAGATTGTCAAATGATATTGACGTGTTTCCAAGGCCGTATAGGTTCTACCATTCAGTATAGATCTCGTTGTTTGAAAACTGAAACTGCCAAGGGTATATAGTTACTTTGCTTGTCTGATTTCCCAACCCATTCGTATAATTTTTTTTTTTCGTTTGCAGGTTGTGTGATATTAATTTCGGGTGTATCGCGGGGAAGAGATATTATGAGAGGCGCGGCGAACAACCCGGGTTCTGTGGGTTCCAAGTTTGGGGCTCATCGACTTGCCCATCATCAGAAGATCGTCGGCGACGAGCAAGCAGCCCAAATATAAGGCACGGGAGCAGGAATGGAGTTTCTTTAGGTGCAGGTTGCTTTTGAACTGATGTATTTCTTTCGTCTTGTGTATTAATGTGTATCTGATTTTTATTTATTTATTTTTTTCACCGGGTATAGATTAAGAAAACAAAAATGCACGAATTTCGAATGATGAGGGATCTGATGCCTCCTCGAGTATATATACAGTATAGTGAGATCCCGACTTACGATTGGACGATTCGATTAAGGGACACTTGAAAGTTGAATAAAAAAATGTTGCCCGACATCCGGACAATATAATGTCTCGATGCTCGGCAACATTTTTAGAAACATTTTAAAATGTAATTTCCTAAATTTTTGACAGCTCTTGAACGGATTGAGCTGCATGATTTTTATTCGTGAAGATGGAAATTAATGGTCGTTGAAAATTATTCTGATTTATAATCCGAAACAGGCTAATTTTTGTCTTCTTAGGATTTTTTTTTCCTCGTCATGTTTGCACAGTGCAGGAAGACTTATTGTGCTCGTTCACCGCATTTGCGGCTCCTTCGTATGCCTAAAGATTAGATTCTGTGTGGTTTTCCGCTGCACAGATATTTTCTGTGTACAGTATTGAAGTTGAGAACATTATTTTATTCAATTTTTTAAAGGACTTCTTCCTGATTTGTGATCCCAAAAAATAATGAATTGAATATTCTGAATTCCGATTGAAATCTAGGCGGAAAACATCATCAAGCATCAGTATAATGACAATAAGGTCCAAAGCACAAACTACCTCCGCAACTTCGGGGCCCCATTGATTTGTGCTTTGACCAACCGCTGCAAGAATGGTTATATTGAATCTTATATGATGTACGTAGAATTAACCCTTTTAGCGGTTGTTTTGTGCCGATGAAGAGATGAACAAGTTGCTCGTCGATGCTTTTCTCGTATCTGAACCTTCGAATTTTTTATTCTCATTTTGGCACTCGAGTTTTTGGCTTGTTTAAAGATAATCTTCCTAATGCCGTGGGTCCGAGATTTTTTCAGACTATAGCACTGTACTGTACTGTACTGTATATTCGCTTCCAAAAAGCATGAGCACGCGAGGGAGAGTTTTGCTTGTAGGGTTTTAATTTTTTTCCAAGCGAGATGGTGTTTAATCCCCCTCATCCCCGTTACACGACTTCGTGCTTCTTTTCTTTGCCCGCAGACGAGGTTTGCGAGTCCCGGGTTGCCGTGTCTGCTATAGAGGACTTGGAGCGGCTTATTTCGGAAGACAGAGAATCTGCAGACTTGGTGTTTTCTCGTACGTGGGCATCAGAGACGATGAGACGCCGATCCGGGGCCACCGACTCGTGTATATACGCCATGAGGTGCAAGAACTTATTTTTCCCGTCCCCTCTGCTGTGGGCCCCAGGCGGAATTTGTCGGCGGGGTCTTCGGGCAACGGTGCGGGCATCAGTGTGGATGATGAGGTATTGCTCAGTGCGGGGCTGGAACGTGAAGCCCGGCTTTCCCGTGACTGTCACGTACGGTGCCGCACTTTAGCCCGGAGGCCTTCCATCATCAGATGGTCCACCACTACATTTATACACGGGGCATGTGAGTGTAGTGAACGGGACGGTGTTGTTGTTGTCGGCGGGTACATCACTTGAATGCCATAATATTATTGCAGTAGCTGTACTTTATTTACCCTATTTGAGTAAGGCACCACACACCCCGGAATTTTTAAACCTGAAATTTGGGTTAAAAAAAAAAGATACAGTGTAAGACCCGAGTCTAAGATGCGTAATCCGTTTTTTAGTTCCTGGATATTGAAATTAAAATCCATAATAATTTAAATTTTGACTTGTGTATCTCGGTTCATTTTTCGTCATTTCCTGTTTTTCTTTTTTAAATTGCCTGTGGAAATGGGATAAAAACTTCCTGTTGAATTCGAAGTACTGTACTGTACGAGTATGAGGTGTGCACCAAAGTTTTACAACTTGAAAAAAGTGTTTCTGTATACCCGCCTTTGACGTGCACCCTCTTTTTTTCTTCTCAATTTGAAAAAAAAAGCTGTGTGTGGTACTGAAGTAAATACTGTTCTGCATCATACAATATTATGATTTTGTAGAAGACTTGAATGATACTGCACTGTGTTGAACTGAATATTAGAGACCACTTTTGATTAGACACTTTCACTTACTTTCAACATTCGAGACTGTGAAACAAGAGGGAAAGAAAAGATAAATAAGCAAGGTGAAAACAAAAACCTGTTGAAAAAAGGGAAAAAAAACTTTTTGATCGCAACTTATTTTCCGTCGAAACTGAGACAGGAATGCCTCAAGAATTGATGCTATAGGGAAGGGGTTTGTTTGTTTTTATAGCTTTTGATGCATGGTGCGAATAACGTTTTTGGATTAGGAGAGTTTTTCCTCAATTCTTTTTTAACTTGGCTACTATACTGTATTAAAGACCGGCTTAGCTGTACTGAGACCTGGCCATTATTAATTGCTGGCTTCTATTTTTGGACCAGGAGGTTATTGGAGAAAATACAGTACTGTATGCAGATTTATAAATACATTAGCGATTGATCGTGATTTATCTAGACTTCAGTAATTTAATTCTTTTCCTCCAGTTTTTTTTTATTACAAAGTAAAGTAGAGAACTGTATCATGTAATAATTTGATCACCTGCAAGTTCTGGGAATACAGAACTTTGTTAAAGCACCTCATTTTCTCGCTATAAAATCAGGGGGCGATTAAATGTTGGGATACAGTATTTCGAGTGCAGAGAAACACAATGCATCATTTGGACATTTTTCCTGGACATCATTGCTTGATTGCAGGGTGTATTTCGAAATCCGGCGGTGCTACTTTCGTGGACACGTGCGTGTCTTATATTGGCGAGGATGCGATCGAATGTGTCCGAACTCCGTCCTTTTTTGCCCTCTCGAAAGAGACCCTCATCCGGCTCATTTCTTCGGACCAGGTACAATTTCGAGTCGGATTCTGTGTGATCCACGGGATTTGGCGAATGAGGATGAGATCAATGCATCATTTTTGGTGTGAATGTGTCGCCGAGTCTCATGTGGTCCTCGACAATGCAAATGCGACACGTGTGTAGATTGAACGAAATGCACAGCATTTTTATTTATTTTTTTTATCTGAGCACGCTTTAATTTTGTTGGAAAAGAAATTACATCCCGTGGGTTTCCAAGTCCTCGTTCCATGATTTTTTTTCTCTAAAGACCGCAATGTATCACGTTAATTAAGCTCATTAGGGAGCTGCAACATTTACTTTATTTCATCTTTTGAAAAACTACTGTAGCTGGATTTTTCTTTTGTGTGCGGCAACGCGTGTCATTCACATCTTTTTTCAACACGATGAATACATTCCCCACGAATTAATGCCTTCCTTTCTTTTCTATTCCATGCATCTGTTTGCATTGGAAGAAGAGGAGGTTCGAGCAGTTTGGCGTGGGCAAAAACGCAGGCGTCTGTGAATGCAGCGACGAGTGCGTGGACAGAAGAGGTGAGGCAGAAAGTCGGCAATAGCCAGGAACGTTTCTATTTAATTCAGATGAGGCATTTGGTGAAGCAAAGATTTCTTAGGATTAATATCCGAGTTAAATTTCGTTGGTGAATTCCATCTTTTTTCATACGAAACAGCGTAACAAAATACTGCACTCAATATACCCCCACCCCAAAGCATCATTATTTATTCTAATCATGCGTCACTAGTCAGGATTCATTTCCTTTTTCGCGCAATTTTTTTTATCTTCCAGAAACTATGAAATCTGTTTTAAATGAAAGCGAAAAGGAATATTTGATTTGCCTGGACGTAAATCTTTTAGTTTTTGAGGCAGTAACTTTTTTCTTCGTCTTGGCATCAAAATTTACTTCTTGAGTCTAGAACTATTGCCATGTTGACGCGGCCCAGTTAGATTCAAAATAAGGAAACCGTCTCCCGGATCAATATTGAAGAGGTTGGACAGGCAAGTGCTCGTTTGTTGTTGATCCATGAGTAAGTAAAAGTGCCCTGTGTGGAAACTATCCGTCCTCAATTGTGGATTTTTTCAGTGCCTTAGCGAAAGTGAGTGTTTTGAACTGTTTGTTGTTGGTATTTGTGAAGATGAATAAAAGTTGAATAATTTTTTTTTTGTCCAGAACGAGGGTTCTTCTTTTCGCGTTACATTCAAACTTTTCATTATCCACGGGAGGAACAAAACCATCACTTAGACGAAGCCGACGCCAGCAAAACCGAAACACATGCAACGCTTCTTCTCCCCCCCGAGAGAATCCAACTTTTTTTTTTTTTTTTGCTGTTGTTGAGATTAAAAACAGAAAAACACACGCCGAGAAGAGCAGCATCCCGGAAGTGCACATCCTGCGGTCGACAGTTGCGGGGGGTAAGGGGAGAGAATTTGGATTAATTTATTCCAATTACGTGGAAGAAAAGAAAATAGACGAGACAAAAATCTTGAAACTTGAACAATCCCTCCCGGACTCATCATCGTCTCCATCCTCCCCACGCCTCCTGCACAGGTTCTCCGAGTAGAAGAGTTTTCACTTCTTTTTCGGTGCAGGAGGCTCAACCGGTCGTCCTCTGTCCTTGCCTCTCAGCTTTAGTCCTTTACACAAAAAAAAAAAAAATAACAATTATCATGTTGTACATGTGGTGGCGCAAACAATTTATGTATTGGAAACAGCATAGTTAATGAGCCAGTAAACTGCAGCGTCAACACGTTTAACGAGCGTAATCCAAACGGCATGATGATCAGGTTAACGCGCTTATACCCCAGAATCGTATTGATTCGCAATTACCGTCTATTTTGAAGCTCCTGGGAAATTACTATCATGATTTGAAATTCAAAACCCCTGACCCATGGCTCAGGTAAAGAAGGGCATCTTGAAGAACTTGCATCATTAAGATGTTTCGTTCACCTACCTCAATACTCGAAACAAAATGGTTCCTTTTTCAAGAACCACCTGCTCAAACAACAACCGCACATAAAAATGATTCGAAATGACCTAAAGAAACAATTGCAAAAAAAAAAGGAAGCCTCACCAATAGCTCTCTCGATCTTGCCCATCACCATTTGGTTCGGAATCGCTCGGCCGGCTTCGTAGTCAGCGATCACTTGAGGCTTCTCGCAGACTTTCTGTAACCCAAAATGCCATCAACTTACCACCATTTCATCATCACGGAAATGGAAAAAGGAAGTAAATAAAGGAATCCTAGGCAGCCAAAACAGTTACGTCTAAAATGCGGGTCAATTCCTTACACTTTGATTCTCCCAACTTGAAAGGCAGAAAAGTTGAGGTTGCAAGGAAGTGGCATGTTCAGGTTATTATCTCACATAAGCAACCAACTTCTCATTTGTTCACACAGAATACATATAAAATAATTTGTAAAAGTCTCAAATTCATACACATGAATTAGTTGTGGTCAGAGAGCAATTTTAGTAAACTTCTCCCCACTTCTAACAAATTTGACTTAAAGCCTCCAAGACGATATACAGCCAGCGACATCTACCCACACACAGTACAGACTATTCGACATTGTTCAACGTAAAAGGGTATAAATTCCTCGAAACACAGCAATCTTTCCACATCCGTCAAATTAATACTGTAAGTTGTACAGCACTGATTGAATCCAAAGAACAATTATAAATTAAAAAACGAAACAAAAACCCACGGTGGCCAGCTCCTTCTGCGTCATGCCTTTCGCGTTCCGCCCCTGCTGGATCAACTTGGCCACATCCAAAGAAACATGCTCGTGTCGCAACTCTTCCGTTTCTCGGTCCAGTTTCGCCGTGTTCATGGTCGTTGGCGGATGCTTATTGGCTCCAGCTCCAACTACAAGTCACAAAAAACTCTCAGCAAAGAAAAAAGCATTCATTTTACTCTAACGCCCACACGTTGAATCTATCGAATCTCGGATACGTGTCGCCTGAATCGGCAACTACTAGAATCAATCATCAGGGAAAGGAGTCTATTTCATATGACGCGCTTGTTGCTTTTTCAGATTGTAAAAGTAAGTTCAAGGGGCAAATCTAGGACACATGTCCCTCCTTTCAAAGCGCAAATACATTTTGAAAACCTAATTCAGCGATCGCGGGCAAAGATGTCCATTAAACTGTACAGAAGTTGGAAAATAAATCTAACATTTTCAGGCGACATCTACGCAACAGCAACTAAAATTAAAAAAGGAGAAAGAGGGGTTCAAACAACAGGTTCCACTCGCACATTTTTTCTCCGTTTCCATGGGAACTCCTCGTCGGAGAGCCGCACTCAATTCTCGTCCACTCTTGAGGTGCACGGCCCTCGGCGCCGGCGCGTTGCTCGCCATTGCAATCAATCAATCAAGCAAGCAATCAATGGATAGCCCGTCTTTTCCCTTAATCTTCACAGTCAAAGAAATTAAAATACACACACGCACTGACCACACCACGTCACGTCGGCGTCTTCTGAAACACACCAACTTCAAACGCAAGAGAGATTGATAAAAGTTCCGAGATAACCCGCTCCTCGCATTAAAGAGATTAACACGGTTTACGCTTGCTTTTGATTCTCACCACCATCGCGCACACACGGGGGGAGAGGAAACCGCCATCGTCATCATCAACAAACAAAAAAAGTGGAAATAAAACAACAACAAAAAAGAAAACCTTTGCTGCGAGGAAGATCGAGGCGAAGAGGGTCACTTGAAAATCGGCGCCTCTGTCCCGCCTTCGTTCTGCACGGGAAGCACTTTGGGCGCCGTCAACTGGTACTCGTACCACACCTTCACGTCGCAGCTCTTCCGCCAAATGCAGAACGTGATCTCGTCGCCGGGCTGCAGCTCCACAGGCTCCTGCAGAAGAAACACACCGCATCGACCGACGCCGACGAACTGCTTTAGAACAAAAAAAAAAATAAAGCAAAGCCAGGAAGCTTTGGAAATCTACAACAATGAATGCTACGCGTGCACTCCTTCACGGGCACTCCTTTTTTCACGCAAAATTTCGGCGAATAGCACGCACATACAGTACTGTACTTAAAATTGAAATCACAAATACAGTACAGTATATGGACGACTGAGGAGAGAATTTCCGATTCAGAGATACAAAAGGACATACAAAAATATCGCACTAATACATTTACAGAATTCCGAATGGATTGCTCGTTGATGATGTCGAAACAACACTTGTCGACAACCCACGTAGACAAAATTGATTCCACAATATATTGTGCTGAGTACTGCATATTGTCTAGGTACCTCAAATGCTGTGGAGTAGGCCGTATTTCCTCTAATAGATGTCGCCCCGATTACCAGGTAAACACTAAAACTTGGGCCCCCTAGTTAACGTGCCCCCGTACAACGTGCCGCCCCGCCCACTGCGCTAGGCAGTCCGCCTCCCTCTCTTTCCTTGGGACGCACCCAGTCTTTCCTTGGGTGACTTGCTGGCGGGCGGGTGCCTTGCTGGTTTTTCCTTGCATTAAAATATACCTAGGTTTAAAAATGACCTAACCTAATTTAACCTAACCTAACCTAATTTAACCTAACCGAACCTAATTTAACCTAACTGAACCTAATTTAACCTAACCTAACCTAATTTAACCTAACCTAACCTAATTTAACCTAACCTAACCTAATTTAACCTAACCTAACCTAATTTAACCTAACCTAACCTAATTTAACCTAACCTAACCTAATTTAACCTAACCTAACCTAATTTAACCTAACCTAACCTAATTTAACCTAACCTAACCTAATTTAAATATTTTAGTGCTTGAAATATTTTATTGCATATATATTTTCAAGTATGTATATTTTAATGCAAGGAAAAACCAGCGAGGCACCCGCCTCCCCGCGAGTCACCCAAGGAAAGACCAGGGGCCTCGGCGGGGGCAGACCGCCAAGCGCGGGAGGCGGACTGCCTAGCGCAGGGGGCGGGGCGGCACGTTGTCCTGGGGCATGTTATCCAGCGTGCCCCTAAGCCTATGTATACAGTACGTTTAGGTATAAATACTAAACGTTCACAAAGAGAAACAGTCCGGTCTCACCGAACAAGGAATGAACACAGAAAACCAGGAGATGAGGGCGTCGCTGTGCGTCTGAGGGTGAATGCTCAGCACCACGTCCTTGTACAGCACGGTGTCAAAGTAGCCGGCAAACCCATGCAACACGGCCCGATCCTGGGCCACGAAAGACACTCGCTCGAACCGGTCATTCGACGTCAGGTCCCCTATTTATTTCCATTTTCAAAAGATCAACGCAAGTTTTAGAGAAAGAATACTTATATCAACGAATACCCGAGTACCACAACTCGAAAAAAATCTTTCAGGAAATGAGAGAGTTGGCTTTACTTCGATTTGATCACATCAGCATCATTCACGTATTCAAATTGGGGCATCAATTTAAAATACAAAACCTTCAAAAAGAAATCGGAATTCACAAAAAGAAAAAAAACCATCTAAACGAATCTATCTTTCTTTTTTCGTTTTTTTTTGGCGAGCAAAAATCCAAAGACGTTGACGTAGCCTCGCTCTAACCGCCCTCATCCACAAAGAAAACATGCAGAAACGAAACTCACAGTTGGGATGACTAAAGGAAAACAGAGGCTTTGGGTCGCTCAGGATCCTCTTCATCTTCATGTAGACAACGTGTATCTTGGACAGCATCTTCCCATCGGGCCCCTCATATTCTTTGGCCTCCGCGTACAGTTTGTACGACTGCATCGGGGCCACGTAGGACGTGTAGCTCTGCGGGATGCAAACTCCATCCTCTGCACAGGGATCATTTCAACCATCAAACAAGCAATTGGCACATTCTTCAAAGCACTCGTGTTAGACAAGTACAGTAATGTATTCCCAAGTTCCCACAAACTAGCATTTCTTCTTCAACGATAAGAAAAAAATCAATTCATCAGTACACAAATTTCAAAAAGTAGACCAAAAAATAAATAAAATAAAATGCAGAGGCGAGTCGAAAAATCAAGATTTCCTAGATTTCAAAGAAATGCTTTCGGCACAGGATCCACAACCTTAGAAAGACACATGCGTAAAAAAATTGTCAAGAAAGTTGAATAAAACAAGAAAAAAATAATTCCTCATTGAAGTACTGTACGGGCCACCATGAAACTGCCCCAAAATTGTCCGCAAATGTTGACTCACGCTTGAGAAACCGTTGGGCTCCGTCCAAACATTCCGGTGACAACTCGTTGTCGCCGAATGACCCTAGAAGTTCCGACACTAAAATGTCGGCCTTTTGCGGATTTTCCCACTCCCGCATATCACATGCCACCACCGTCACGTTCTTCCATTTCTCTTCCGTCTCGGTTCTTCTCAGCAGTCTTTAAAAAAAATATATATATAAATATATATATCAGGATAAGTCACACTCGACTCAGAAATTAAGCAAAGAATGATAATCTTCCGGATTCACCAAAAAATGCGCAGGGGGGTCGAAAAAGTTGAGAAGGAAATGAGAAATCAGCATTGCTAGCGTACTCGAGTGAAACCCGATCACAAGTGCATTCAAATACCGTACTGTACATTGCTGCAGCTAATTAAGACGCGGAAGAGAAAGGCTCAAGAGATGAAAACTAGAGAAAATAAAATCAATTCCAAGCACTGTACCGTATTTAAAAATAATTGAATATTTGGAAATTAAAATGAATTTCCAGTGCAGTAATTTAAAATTAATTACATCTATTCTTCAAGCCTCCTTCAAAGGACCATTTTCGCTGATGATGACATATAAAATAAATTTCAAAAATCGATATTCGTCGTGGCAACGGACAAGTAGGGGAATTAAGCACAGTTAAACTATATGTTCAAGTCATACAACAATCAGCATAACACCCACACATTCACAGCGTTGGGATTCTTCTCCACGGCGAAAAGCCTGAGGGGAATGCCGCTCTTGTCAGACGCTCTCATGGCTGAATCAACCAAAGGCCCGCGTCCAGCACCAACGACCATCAGAACACTGCAAAACACGATCAAAAAGTGCGTGTTAATTGAGAGACAAACGATTCCAAGTCCTTTTCTTTTTTTTCTCCCCAACTTTAAAATCGCATCACTTACAACGGAGGCTCCTGGCCTGCATTTCTCCTGTCCACAATCGCATCGTGAACCGCTTCTTCGTACTTGACATACTTGCACGGGTCTTCTTCGAACGTGGCGTAGGTCTGCGCTTCCAGATTATCCGCCAACGGCTGCAACGGGGTCTGCAAGCTGTCCACGAAGTCCTTGCCCGCCACCTCCAGGAAATCGGAATCTTCTAATCGACGCTAGAATCAATAAAAAAATAAATAGATAAATAAAAAACAGCTTCAATTTTTTTTTCCTCTACGGGGGGTTGAATAAACAAAGAGAATAAACAAATTTTGATTAAATTACAGTACAGTACTTCAATTCAACAATGGTCCTAAGAAACACTTGACGTACAAGAAATACTGCATTCTCGAATTGCACTTCACAGTGTGAACAGAGGATTATTACAACGACGCGGAAAATAATGCTTGCAGGAGCTCCACAGCCATTTTTTATAGACTCTAATACTGCATGATTTCACTAAAGGAGCAGACGCAACAAAAATCAAACGACATCTATACACGATGAGAGAATAACTCACGTCGTACAAGTCTAGAAGTTTCGCAGAGATTCGCTTGAGGTGTTCGTTGGAGGCGCCCGATCCACGAACCATGGCCTGACAACCAGCCACAAACACGCACTTGACGAACTTCTCCTGGGCCTCTGACAGGGATCCCGTTAACGCAAATGACTCCGCATGCACCACAACGCATTTCAACGGTTCAGCCAGCCACCGTTCGCAAACTCTACAACAAAAACATTCATCTCATTCTACGAAGTTCCCCTTCACATCGAAGAAAAAGATGGAGAAAAAAAATATGCTCCTCTGGTTGCATAGCAGTAATGAGAACAACTTAAATAATTACAAAACAATTTACTTGAATCGGAAAGATAAAAATTACACCTGAACCACGAAATTAAATATTTTTCGCTCCATCTCCGAATTTTATTTTCATGATATTATCATGTATTTTTCCACACTGAGTGGATCAGATACAATACTTGTTAAAATTAAAAAATAAAGATAAAGTCGAACCTCTTCAAGCCAAGCTTTAAGGAACCAGCAAATCAAAATCGAGTCAGAGAAACAGATAATCATGGGAAGTTGTAATTATTGGCGATATTCTGGGCCTTAAATTACTTCTTAAATGAGTCGACAAGATTGATGCTGAAGGATCATTCGCCCAATTAGCGTTTCCGTTCTTTTCAAAATACACATGGTTACATTTTTAAACTTTATTTCTTTCCTCTCTCCTGCGTCAATGAAATAAAAATAGTCAGAAGATCCCCCAGAAAATTTGAGTTGAGCAGATATTTTTCATTTAATTCAAAGCATTGTTTCCAAGGGAATTCAAGACAGGGCCTTGAAAATCCAACTTCAACTGCGTACTGAACACATTTTAACGAGAAGCCATGAAAAGCAAGAACAAGATAAAGCTGCAACACTTTGCAGAAGCACCCCCCAGAATCATGTGTCACACACACACCTAGGGCACGGCATGGACCCATCGGCCGGCAGTTCCAAGACCACGCCCAGCATCTTGGTGACCGGAAACGCCGCTCGGAAGTCGTTCCAGCGATCCCAAGCATCCCCCGAACCCAAATTCACACTGGCCCACACACAGGGACACCGATGGTGGTGGAAATGACGCGGTTTGGAAATGCCCAAGCGGGCGTCGAGCAACGCACTCAGCAAACGCGTGCCCGTGTCCGGAAGGTCCACCAGAATCGCAGGCAAACACAGGAACTGGGCCATGCGGATCTCAAAGTCCACGATCTTCCGACTGTCGGCATCCAACGTTTCCAAGTCACGGACGGCGTTTTGGTTCAAGTGCCCGACAACAAAGCTTTTCCACACTAACAAAATAAATAGAGTAAGCAACAACTTTTTTCATTGTCATAAAGTCATTGGGAAATAGAACATGTGAGTGGGGAAAAAATGTTTTGATAACTTCTGTTTGATACAGCAGTTGAACCACGACAGCTCGAAAAAAAAACAAGCAAATTGTTTAAGTCCTTGTCAAAATTCCCCTAGAAACGATGCATAAAAAAAACTTCCCAAACTCCCAAGGCTTTGCACGTCAAGTTTTCGTAAGTCAAACTTTCTAGACACTTTTCGACTATTACTTTATTGAGACACACAGGAACGATACAAAAAAAAAATTGATGTGCATTTTGAAAGCAAGTGAAAGACTAATTTGAAAGACGAAATGATGAACCATCCATTGCCCCCAAGTTCAGCATCGTGTCAAATCATTCAAGAAGTGATTTGAGGCACTGGATATTAACAATCCAATTACAATTCCCTGTAATTCTTCCCCGTTATAACACAGTACAACAACCTTTTTTTTTTACAGTAATACAAAAGTATGCTCACCACTCGCGCTCACGTCAGTCATCATTCCGCGACGTTGGAAAATCGGAAGCGGGAGATCATGGACGCCAACTCGACACGACGGATAACTCAGGTCCACGGCGACGAAGCAATACCTGATGCCCACATTCCAGAGTAGCCATCATCATCATCAGTACATAGAGTACAGTACAGTACAGTAATTGGCTTCCGAGTCACAACTCGTCCTCTCAAACACGTACCCTTTCTCCATGACCTTGTCTGGCCCGGCGGAAAATTCGTCGCAGTCGCCGCCGACGTCCAAACCTAACCGCGATTCCCCCATGTTCCGAGGGGGAGAAAAGGACAGACAGACAGACAGACACACAAGCACTGCGGATACTGAGTCTGGGAAAACAAAGCGGGTTTCACAAGCAAAACCTGATGACTGGACCAAAGCCGCAATTGACGGAAAACAAGAGACATTATTACGAAACTTATAATGCTTCAGTGCAGCGTCTACCCAGTCAAATTAAAATCTTTTTGTCGTGAGGCATCCACATCCCAATTTTCCATTTATTTATTTCATTTTATTCACGTTTTTTACCAAGTAACGTAAATAAGATAATTGGTTCCGCACATACAAGGTATATGGTACATCTCAAATCAACTTTAATGCGGGAGGTTAATGAAGAATTTTCGGTAGTTTGTTTTCCAAAAAAAGCGGAGAAATTTGAGAAAGCAAAAAAAAATCATTGATTTCGAGATGGTCTTCTTCGAAGTTTTTCAGAGAATGCATGAAATATTGAAATTCATTCATTATTTTGGAACCATTCCTCTTGAGTGCGTTTGAGGGAAGGCACAAGAAAAAATTGATTAAAAATTAGTTTCGAACACAGAAAACATGCTACAGTACTTGAAATTTCTGTAATGTCTCCAACCCCGGGTGAATGAAAGTTGAAGGAAAAGTGCAATCTAGTTGAATTCACCAATCCGAATACCTCCTGAATAATCTGCTGGGAGCCTTTTTGGAGATTATTTCATGGAAACGGGAAAAAGAAACCCCCCCCCCCCCCCCCAAAAAAAAAGTAACTTGATGTGTTTTGAAAAGAGGCAAATGAACCATAGCCTCCAACTTCAGCATTCCGTCAACTCATTTCGGAAGCAATATAAGGCCCAAAGTATTAACAATTACAATTTCCTGTAATTTTCCTTCCTTCCTTTATTTCCCGCTTTTTTTTTTTTGTACGCGAGAACTGGTAGTGGTGTTGATGTTGTAGATGCCACACTATGAAATACTGTACTGTACACACAAGGCGATGATGCTTTAAAGGTAGATGTCGCACTCAAACAAACAGAAACTGAATCTTTCGACCGAGCGAAGAATCCATGTCGCAGAAAACAAATAAAATAAAGATATGAAGAAAAAAAAAAACTAGAGAAAAACTACTCGGCTCTTTGTTTGCTTGCTTGTTTGTTTGTTACTTCACTCACGGAGTTCATTCACGAGACAAAGAGCAGACAGACAGGACTGGGAAACACAATCTGCTCTGGACGAATCGCTGCTGCTGGCTGGCTGGCTTCACAATCGCGAAAACATCATCTCTCCATCATCATCATCTTCATCACAAGAAACGAACCAGACAAGACACACACACACACACACACTCCAAAAGGCGCGGGCGGCGGCGGGACGACGACGACGACGACGGCTCTCATCTCATCGCAACTCAACTGCCGACCTTGCCCAGTCTCGTGTCCGTCTTGGGGTTCGCCGTCACCTTCTGCGCCGCCACGATGATCTCGTTGACCCGCGTCTGCAAACTCCGAATGTCGTGCACAAACAGCAGTCGCAGGATCTTGGCCGCCTCGTTCAGCACGGGGTCCTTGGTGTCGAAGCCCAAGTCGGTGTCCTGCAGCGGGAACGGCTGGCCCTCCGGCGCCGGAAACGTCTTCCCGTTGGCCACGTAGCCCTGCAAACGGTCCTGCATCAGCCTCGAGCAGGCCTTGAGTCTCAGCAAGTGGTCCGGGTGAGGGGCAATGTTCAGCGCGTCCGCCAACGAGTTGACGCCACGCACGAAGTCCGCGTGCTGAAAGTCCAGCTTGTCCAACGGGTTCTCGGACACGGGCGCGTTGGCAGCCGTCGTCGTCGTCGTCGTCGTCGTCTTGTTTTCATTGTTGTACTCTTGTCGTTTGTCGGCAAACTCGAGTCGGACGGCGTAGCCCAGGAGCCAGTCGAGGACGGCATTCCGGTCTCCGCCCAGCGGGTCCACGGGACACACGAGGTTGTCCAGGTACTGCAAAAAGTGCTGCTCCCAGTCCGGGGCGTCGATGTTGCGGAGTCCGGTGCGGTCCTGCTCCTTGTAGTTGCGGATCTTGCGGTCTTCCAGCCAGGACACCAGGGCACGGAAGTTCCTGGGCTCGGTCAGGTCCACGTTCTGGGCATTCTCGTACTCCAGGGCCGTCAACTTCCGCCGGAACATTTCTTTGCCTTTCCCTCTTCTTCTTCACTTATTTTCTTCAAGTCGCGGAAAATAAATGGATTTTTCTGGAACGAAAAAATGAAAATAAGTATCTTATTTATTTACTCGAGTACCACTGGCCCATAGAATGAGACGCGCACCCGAGTTTTCCCTCACCGAAAGTCTTGTTTGAAAAATTGTTTTTGGATATGAATCAAAATTGAAGCTCATTAAAAAAAAAATTCGAGGGCGAATTGTTCTTCATTCAAATAAAATGATCAAACATGGAGGACTCAAACATTTTTTTCAAAGTATTACGGAAAATTTGAAATTTTTATATATTTATTGATTGTGTTGTGTGTTTTTTTTTTCAAGTTGTACCCGTGAGAAGAATTTACATTAGTTATATGTTACCTGAACACATCCAAGCAAAGAGGATATTTCAGATTTTTAAAATTAACTTTTAAAAGCCATGAAATGTAAACTCTAATCTTACAATTAGACGTAACACGCCGAAAAAATTTGACTCAGCCCCTATGTTTTTATCCAAAATTTGAACACATTTTTTGAGCGGATAAATCAGCAATAATCACGTCTTATGCACTCGTGCATGACTTTTACTCAACACGTCGAAAAACAAAACACCCCCCATCACACGCAGTATTTTCTCGATTACTACGATGCACCGAAATCCTTGCAGTGAAACGAGAAACATTTCCCATCGATTATAAAATTTCCCCCAATGATTTTGACACACACACACAAGCTGGTAACCTTCATAGTTTCCTAGCGCTGATTTGAAGAGAGAAAAAAAAGGGAAAAGAAAAAAGGTCCTAAAATTAATGGAAAGGGGAGTGGCGCACTTTCGTCTTCTTACACCTTAGATGACCTTCATGGGGAGGCACTTAATCCACACCCGTTAAGCATGTCCATGACGAAATTGTGAAGGGGATCGAAGGAAAAAAAAATACGTGGCAATAACATAATGGACGATTCGCCGGGGAAAGAGCGAGTTCGAACTCGTCGAGCTCGCTCCTCGGCATCTGCTGCTCTGCGCAGGTGGGACTTGGAAAAAAATAAAAATAAAAATAAAAAAAATAAGCCCAGTTGAAATAAGCCATATAACGTGCATGTTCCATCATCCGCAGCAGGACTGGACCAAAGGACCGTCTCGAAGCTGGCTTCGACTTTTTGCTGTACCAGAAAAAGGCCGGTCTGCAGGATGCCGCCCAGGAGGCGGCCAAGGAGGTGGAGGCCGACGACGCCGGCGACGGGTACGAGTACGACGTCGAGCCAGAGCCCATGTTTGCCGGCCCATCCTTCAACCACTTCATGGTCACCTACTTTAAGGAACTGGACGAGGGCGCCGAGGAGGAGAGTCGGCTCATGGGCCAGTCCAGGTCGCCCTGCAATCCCTGCAACCAAGAGGTGCTGGCCCAACTTGACCCTTTTTTTCTCTCTTCTCCTTCTCTCAACATACAGTACAGTATCTCTAAAATGGCAACCAACCGCCGTTTATTAAAATACTTGAAATACACGATGCTCTCTCTCTCTCTCGCCCCATTTCTTTGTTTTTGCTTCCTTCGTCTTGATGTAAAATAAAATAAAATAAAATGTACATATACAGTATGACGAGCGGATGCGCAGTCGCATGTACGACATGTACAAGTCGTACGTGCACCCCCTGGAGCTGGCCACGGGCTTTGGCCAGCTCTACGACGAGCCCATGGAGGCCGGGGACTTTGACATGATGGCCTTCGTCGCCGTCCTCGCGCCGCACAACATCAACAAGCAGGACTTCCTGTCGGGCCTCACGGGCTTCCTGGCCTTCGACCCGGACACGACGCCGCCCGAGCCCGACTGCGGACGCGAAGGCGGCGGCTTCGACTTTCTGCTGTACCAAAAGAAGGCCGGCCTGCAGGACGCGGCCCAAGAGGCGGCCAAGGAGGTGGAGAAGGCCGAGGCCAAGGACGAGGGCCCGGCGGTTTCGGCCGGGGGGCCCAGGCACTCGCGCGTCGTCGAGAAACTGCCCGACAGGTTCGACACCAAGTTCGTCTTCCTCATGAGTCGCGACAGGTGCTCGCCGTATGCCCGGAGATTTGCCGGCTCCGACCACCCCGCCTCCGAACTCGACGGCCCCTCTTTCCGGTAAGGGGTCTTTCATGTTTCATTTATTTGCTTTTTTTTTAGTTTTTAAAATCTGCTTGAATTGAGAGCATGGTCTAGACTAAATAAGACTAGAGTACCTTTCTTGGGCCAGCAAATTTCCATACAATTCTTCATGGACCGCCACATTTGCAAAGAAAATAAAAATAAATAATTCTGCGGACCACCAAAGATTCATAAAATCTGGCAAAATCAAGAAAATTTTGCTCGAAAGACTTAATGCCAGGCATTTAAAAAAAAGTTTCCGCTTATACAAAAATTAATAAGAAGCAATGGAGTGGAATTTCTTTTTCTTTTTTAATTATTTTATTAGAAAGGTGGGCTTGAAGAGGGGTTTTTTCAAGAATAAAAATAAAAATAATTTATTTTAAGGCCGTGAAATTTTGTTTGATGTGTTATTAGGACGTGAAAAATTTCTTGGAATTTCTGCAACTCTATTGAGAACGGATGCTTTTCTTTGAAATTATAAAGCAACACACGTCGGAAAGCATTTTCCCTCATTTCCAAGAAAGAACACGTATTGAAGAAGTTCTCTTGTTTTTGAATGAAGTACTGTACTGTACTCTACTTCTCCCACCTGTACTTGATGCTTCTTTTCATTTGTCAAGACAAAAACAGAAGATGAAAAGAAAGACAGCGTCAATTAAAGATACGCATAAATAAATAAATAAATGAAAAATTCCTCTCGACTTTTAAAATCACTGTATAACAGGTTTTCTGGTCTTGAGTTATTTCTTGTAGAAGCATCTCACAATCTTTTTTTTTTTCGTTTCTTCGTTACAACGACATTTCAATCAAAAAACTAATTTCAATCTAAGCGTTCATTCGTGTTTTCTTTTTCCTTCTTCAAACTTATTGTCGCAAGATTTTCTCCGCCAATCGTATTCAATTAATACATATTTGTCTCTCTGTCTCTCTCTTTCTTTCTTTGTTCGTCTAGACAAATGGGCGGTTTCGACTTTCTCCTGGAGAAGAAGAAGAAGACAAAGAGGGCGGGTGGCGGCGAGGATGACGACGGCGGCGGCTGGGAAGAGGACAATACCGGCGGCGGCGGGGGGGCCATGCACGACGTCGGCGAAGAGGGCTACTTCATCGGCGGCCGCGAAGTCCTTCGCATCTCCCCGCGCGTCGTCAACATGCAGCCCATCATCATGAAGTACGGCTACCGGTTCATCACCGAGCACGTGCTGGGCTTCATGATGGACACGCCGGTCCTGCAGCGGTTCAACGTCCTCTCGCTGCCCGACATCCCGGAAGGTGTGATTTGACTACATTCATTCATTCGTTCGTTCCATTTATTTCATCAATTCATTACAACTACAGCCTAATGCACTATACTGCATCAAGCAACATTTATGGGGACATTATTTGAAAAAAAAAGAAAAGAACAAAAAAAAAAGACTCTGGAGCCATTGGGGCGATTTTCCGTCAACTACACAATCACAGCGGCAACTAGAATCCATTTTTCATATCCGCGTTATTTCTAATCTTTATAGACAACTGAAACGAAACAATTGTCTACATTTTCCGATTTCTTCTTAAACACACAGTAACGATTTTTAACACGTTTTTATTAACTTGCTTTCTTGTCCGTTTGTTTGTCCGGATCAAATTTATTAAGGTTATTTTTTCCTTTTTCAAAACGTGGTTTTTTAGATTAATTTTTCAATCTACTAAATTTTTGTTGTTGCTTTTTTTCGAATCGGTGGAGGTGCAATGAAGTGGGGCAAATTTACTTTCTTTGAGTTGGAAAATATCCTTTCAAGTACAGTACTGTACTACGTAAATGATTTTAAAAATTTGAATTTTTTCACTGCAACAATTTTGCTGTTGTTGTTCGACACGTTTCCATCATCGGCATTTCTTAGGTATCTGAATCAGGGAAAGGTTTCCAAAATTGGGCAAAATTCAAACTCTGCTGAACATGGCCTGAGTCAGGGGGAGAAAAATGTGAAAATTTTCTAAATTTTTAAAAACAAACTTGATATTGAGCGGGAAATGAAATAAATGACTTGGTTTCAGGTGGACTCCTCCAATCCACTCGCTGGTCATTGAAAATAAGAAAATGCAATAGTGAAAATGAAACGAGTACTGTATTCCAATTTAAACTGAAAAGCATTTGAAAATTAATTCCTGGTTCAACTCATGTCTAAATTTACAATTTCGGCGTTTCTCTCATTTCTTGAATCAATTGCAGCAGTTTTAGATTCAACCACCGAAAAAGTCCTTTGCTCGGGGATGAAAAAAATAAAAATAAAAACCCCCCCGGGGCAGTAGTGCGGTATTTTATTCAATTAAATACGAATACCGTACCACTACAGTATTTATTCTTTCATTCATTCTCTTTCAATTGCAGCCGACATGAGCTGGTCCAAGCGGGAACCCGGCGGGTTCGACTTCTTGCTGTACCAAAAAAAGGCCGGTCTTCAGGACGCGGCCCAGGAGGCGGCCAAGGAAGTGGAGAAGGCCGAGGAGGTGGACACTGGACCCGGGGAAGTGGCCAAGCCGCGGATCCGCAAAAAGAAGGCCAAGATGCCCGAGCCCTTCGAGTCCTACACGATGGTGGCCCGGTACTTTTGCCAAAAGGCCGACCGGATCCTCGTCGTGATCGACACCCGACGCGACATGTGGAAGCACTTTGTCATGCTCATGGAGACCATCAAGTGCTTTGCCGGCAAAATCGCCTGCGTCTACATGTACCCCATTGACCAGGGCACGGGCTACATCATGCGCCGCTACAGCGACCAGACGTGGAACGTGTGCAAGGTCCTGTGGCCCATGACCGAGCCGGTAATTGCAATGCTCTTTCTTCTTCTTTTTTTGTTTTTCATCTTTTCTTGCTTTTTAAATATTTGCACTCGAGGGTTTCATCATCATCATCATCCCAGGTAGGAAAAAAACAAAACAAACAAAAACAAAAGCACTGCCAATTACGTGTAATTTTCTCTCTCATACCTCTCCAACAAGATAACAAAAAACTAAACCCCGTTTTTAAAAATTTAATTGCGTTGCTTTTCCAAAGAATCTTATCAGCAACATGAACATACACCGTGCGTGCTTGAATAATCCTCCTTTCCAATTCAGACACAGTTTTTTGTTGTTGCTGGAATGTCAAGTCAATTTAATCCGGTTTGATGCGAACAAAAGGATTTCTTCCTGCATGTTTCAACTTTTTGCGCGAAATTTACTCAAAATAACTGGGAATTCACTCGAACGTAGTTTGTTGGAAATACATCATTGAATGCTCCAAAAATTTCGTTACAACGAAATCTCGACATTACACATTTTTCCCGTCATAAGAAACTCTCATCTAATCATCTTGGACCCAACAGTTTGTTTCATAGGATTAATTTACACAAATTTCAAGATGGAGTAATTTTTGCACTGGTCCTACGTACAGATAACAGTATGCTAAAAAAATGAGATAAAAATATCAACAAAAAGTTCATAAAAATCAGTACAGTATTGCCAAAAATACACAACATAATACTTTCCTTGGAATTTATTTTGGGTCATTTTGATAATTTTTAAATTTATTTATTTTTAATGATTAGTACAGTATATCGAGAAAAATGTACTTCTTATTCAAAGAAGAAGAAAAAAATGGGCTTTGCTTGAAAGAATGACCTTGGAAAAATATACTCTCACTTCTTACATCCAGTGCATGACTTTTGTATCCTTATAGTTAAAAAAAAAAAAAAAGAATCAACACATTATTATTGTTTCGAGAGACATTTCCCTCCCGAAATAAGTTTTTACAGCCATGAATTTCGATATACAACATTTTGTCGTTGATGGGTCGTTTGATATATTCTCAATTTTCTCCCCCCTCTCTCCCCCCCCCCTTTCTTTTTTTTCAAGGTGAGAATCTATGGCAACTCGTATCGCAACATGGGCGGGTTCCGCACCTGCTTCTTCTACCAAGACGAGGACCTGGGCAAGGACATGTACTACTTGTGGAAGTTCACGTCGGTGAGGATCGCCTACGAGATGCAGCAGCGGGCCATGTTGGCGGCCATCCTGGGCATCATCTTCAACGACATGAAGAACTCGCTGCCCAAGATCCGAGTGCCCTTCAAGCTGCCCAAGAGCATCAAGCTCAACATCCCGGGCTTCTCGGACGCCATCACGATCCCGATCCTCAACAGGTCAGAGAATCATTCAACCAACCAACCAACTTAACAAACAAACGAACAAACAACAACTCTGTTCCTACCCTTATCCCTGCCCCCGCTACATCAAAAAAAGTATACAGTATTGTATATTATACGGTAGATGAACATGGATAATTCATACCTACCAAGTCACACAAGTCCCTGTTGTTGTTATCAGGGACTTTTTAATTGAATGTTTGAAATCTTGTACAAACAAGATTTCAAGATGGGTTGTCTGTCAAGTCTTTATAATACAGTCTCCCATTGCTGTATTGTACTGTTAAAATTACGTCTGTCAGCTTAATTTGAAGAGGGGATTTATAATCCTTATTGCCACGTTTACATCAAGTGAATACTCCTCAGTAGATTCTGTGCTTCCAACAGGCCACAGGATAGAAAAAAGCAATTTAAAAAATCCACCAAATGAAAATTTTGTTTTTCATTTCTCCTACTCTTTTTTCTTTTTTTCTTTCTTTCTTTCTTTCTTCTTTTTTGTTGTTGCTGCCTGCTACGCAGAACTGAGCAGGCCAAAAGAGAGGCCCTCTACTCGCTCGACTACCACTTTTACCAGTTGCAAGACAAGGAACGACTGCCTCCCGACATGTTCCCCTGCGAGGAGTTCTTCCTCGACCTCCTCGTGTACAAGGACTTTGAGAGGATGGATCACGTGGACAAGACCCTGATTGACAACTGCAGACGCATCGCAGAGGACGACATGGTCCGAATTGTGGGTAAGAAGCGCGTTGTTTTTCCGAGTTGAACCTTTACAATCGATAAAAATCCACCCATCATCTTTGAAATGTTTCAACGAGATTCGCCGCAACGGACGAATTGTACTCCCTGTACTTCTTTCCTGCTTTCTTCCAGGCCGCTTTCTTGAACAGTGTCCCGCTGATCAACTGGATTTCGACCCGAGAAGCACCTTGTGTTGCGGCAAACTCTTTGACGTGGTGGTGGACAAGCCAGAGAGGATCCAGTTTGAACAGGCCTTCGAGGCCATGCGGCCAGACTTTGACGACAAGATCGACACCGAGTCCTTCGTGGAGGCCCTCATGGCCCTGCCGGTGCCACCGGGCTCACTGGGCAGGATTGCCATCCTCGCCGACCACGACCACGTAGGAACTCTTTTTTTCTTTTTTCTTTGTCTTCTTTTTTTTTTCATTTCCTATTCCCAGGCTTTTTTTCCAATTACAGTACAGTACGGTACATGGGGAACTTTGTAAGAACAAAGAGTTTTCGTCTCTAGATAAAGTCATGAGAAAATCCAGACTTGGAAGCATATTCTTGCGCAACGGTCATGAAAATGTTTCTCGTACGCGAAAAACTTTCATTATGAGATTATTTTTCAACGCACCAAAAAAGCACACAATACAGCGATACTCATACAAAGAAAGATGCTAAAGATATACACCAGGTTATTGGATGTTCACCTATTTATTTTTATTTTTGGTGCTACGAGGGATCCTTTCATACTGATGTTGAAAAATCCCGAAGATTATGTAATTACGTTTTTTTCGTGCCTCTCATAAATTGATTTTGACACGCCAAATCTCATGGGATTTTTGCCGCACAGTTCATACACTACTGTATAATCATGTAACTGATTCAATTTCAATTCCTTTCTCGGCTAACAATATTCAATAATTGTGAAAATATTCCAGTTTTAATAGAAAAATAAAATCTGTACCGAATTTCCTCGAGTGCCATGCGCCCTCATTAAGACGCACACACTTTTAATGACTCTAAAACCACAGTACAGTACAGTACAGTACTGTATTTGAAAAATAATAATTTAAATGTAGGCATGAATCGAATTTAAATTTGAGTAAATATCAACCATTCCAATTGTGTTCGGCTTCCAAGTTAAAATTGGTCTAAATTTCCCAATGAAAATCAATTATAATGCATATCTACATGCTACATTTGTAAAGTTTTTGAAAAAAAAAAATTGTCTCGAAATTTCAGAAAAACGTGTGGGTGGGTGGCATTCGAATTTATTGACTTTCGCATCATTGCATCAAATTGAAGATGCTCCAACGAGACAAGAAATCGATAATTTTGGACCGATCGTCGAAAATTGCAATTGTGATTTTTACCCATTTAAACAACAATCATGTAAATAAAAAAAAAATAAAAATATATGTACTAGAGTTGATGTTGTACGAATAAAATGGGCAGTACAGTACTGTCTTGCAAAAAGATAAATTTGAATTCGAATGCTTCCAAATTCCAGTCATCATTCTGGAGAGTCGAGAGAAATAACAAAATGAATACAGTATCACAATGGTGGCACGTGTGATATTTAATAATGAAGGAGTGTCATACTGTCAACAACTACTGTATAATCAAATCATGACCCCAATAGGACTGCCGACTCAGTCGCGACGAGTTCATTGCCGGCATGCACATGGCCCTGCTCAAGATGAACGGCCTCGAGCTGCCCATGAAGGCGCCGCACCGCTACTTCGCCGCCTTCAACCGGCACCCGCGCATCGCCATCTACTTCCGCCGCATGACCGAGATCGGCGAGGAAGTCGTGCCGGGTCTCGAGGAAGAGGAGGAGGAGGAGGAAATGTGGGACGCCCCCATGGAGGCGGCAGACGCCGGCAAGCCCGCCGAGGAGAAGAAGGCGGCCGACGCCGGCGGCGGCGGCGGAGGCGGCTTCTTCGACTCCATCTGGTATCAAAAGAAGGCCGGGCTGCAGGCCCAGGCTGGCGGCGAAGAGGACATGTGGGCGTCCTTCTTCACGCCCGCGGCGCCGCCGCCCGGCAAGGGCAAGAAGGGAAAGCCCGGCAAAGTGCCCGAGCCGCCAGCCACCTTCGGCGCCTTCATGGCCTTCTTCAAGCCGCTCAAGGGCAAGAAGAAGCAGCGGGACGTGCAGGTGCAAGAGAACTACTTGCAGCCGGGCGGCGTCAAGATGACGGGCTCCTTCCACATCTTCCACGTGCTCTGATAGCTGCTGCTTAATTTTCTACCCGGTTCAAGAGTTTTTGTTTGTTTGCTTGTTTGTTTGCTTGTTTGTTTGCTTGTTTGTTTGCTTGTTTGTTTTCTTTCCTGTGCATTGTTTACCCTTAATTAATCCCTCCTTTATCCACATACTGTAGTTAATTCCTTTCCTCGTCCTCGATAAACAAACCTTCTTTTTTCACGACGACCCTCCCGCACTTTTTTCTCTTTGCCTTTTTGTGTTCCTAGTTCCACCACGTGCAAAAATTAGCCTTCACTGCAAGTACTGTATCAACAGTCCAACAAGTTCGCGTGCAATGAGTAAATTGCGATTAATTGAGCATTGAAACCTAGCTGCTTCTTGGTATCCATTAATTTTTTTTCGTCAGTGCACTTCTCCAAGATAGCGTAGCCGTTACACAATTTTTTTGAGGATGCTGTGGGGAATTGAAGGCTAGGTTACTTGAGGAAAGTTGAATGTTCCATATTTTGCAAGATTCGTAAAAATTTTCCACTTTTAGCCGTGACATCAGTAACATGAACCCCCATCTTCCTCGACTGTCCCTCACGTCGACTGACCAATTGATTTGTCCGTGGGTAGATGTCACTGGTAGTCACAATGCCCTTCACGTTCCATCCCTTCGCGAATTTTTCATGTTTTGAGTAACAGGGGTCACTCCCGTGTAAGATATGTCCCGAAAAGTGATAAGATCTAAATTCAAGCCCAATTGAAGATTCCCATCCAATGATTGCATTAGAGTGGGGAGAAAATGTTCAATTTCAAAAAGATGGCAATTAAAAATTGTGTACCTCATTTTTTTGCTCTAATTTTGTGAAAAAAAAAAAGCGCGTGGCACTCAGTTAAAAATGGTACGTCACGATATACCTTTTCGACGAATTAAAATAATTTTATGAAGGGATTTCGACTGGTATACAGTACATTAGGAAAACGATTTAATCTCCCGCTTTCCAATGCGAAGGAATTTTTCGCCCAAGAACTGTTTTTCGGAATTCGAAAATCAGCCCTCTATCCCATCTCGGATATCCCGTATTCGGCGTTTCCGGATCCAAGGCCAATTGAACACCCAAGAATGCACGCGAAACGCGTAAAGATGAATATCGGAACTTTGTAACAAACCCTCGTTTTCTGTTTTCACGTTCAACAGAACTCCGAGGATAGGATATAGACATAGTACGGTCCTCTCAACCTGATCAGTTTGAAAATCCCACCGCCAGATAAAAGCTCTACTCACTTTTACGCCGAGGCAACGATAATGAGACGGATCCGAATGACGCTGCTGCTGCTCGCCAGCCAGGAAAAACGCGCAGTCACACAAACACAAGATTATTGCGGGTTCACAGCGAACGACACAGAATCAAGAGAAATCATATGTTTATGCGTGGCAGCGGATCCACAAACGCAGCCGTTCCCGTAAATTTCGGCGGAAACTGAAAAAAAAAATATTTCAATGAATGAAATGCTAGAATAAAATAACAAATGAACAAACATTAAAGGCTACCGCGCGTCGAATGAGAAAAAAAAGTAAGCCCATTTTCAAACAAGCAGTGATAAGAAATTAACCAGTTCGAGCTCCTTCAATTGCCATGAGCACGATTGTAGGAATCTTGCTACAGTATACATAAAAACAAAAACTTGAAAAATATTTATTTTGAAAATCAAATCAGCTTGACAACGGCCTCCACGTTGTTCCTTACTTCAAAAAATTATTTTGAAACGTTTACTGAGGAGTCCAGAATAATATTGAAGCCTATGAACGAAAGTTCGGCGCTTTTTTGGTTTGAGAATCGTAAATACTATATCTGGGATGAGTCGTTTCCATCCTGCCTCATTTTGACTCGAAAAATAATATAAAAATGTAGGACACATCGACTGCGTTTTTCATCCTCAATGATTACACGATCGAAAATCCACGAATCTGAAAAAAAAAGTCACGTAAATGCGTATTGTTTAAAGAAGCCATCGTGGTTACAGCAATGCATGAATGTCAATTTCACTTTGAAAAATCACATTTTGAAGTGGCACCTGATTAACTGTTTGAAAATTGGTACTTTCTTTTTCGCAATCCACACGCCTTCGAAATGTACTGCATGCCAAAATTCGCGTCGAGAGCAATATATCTATTAGATTCAATCGGTAAATTCCCACGTTATCTCAGCACGCACTTCCGGAAGCTTTCCAACAACTATCGAGGTAAAATTCGAGCCAACCAACATGTTCAGATCTTCAACACCCTCCAGGGGAGGAAAACAAAAACAGACCGGGGATGGGGTAATAAGGGAGCACGAGGAAGGGCAATGCATTCCGATCACAAGCAAAAAATGATGTTTTTTTTTCTTTCAAGCGACACAACCGCGTGTTTTTTTTTTGCATTCAAAGCAACAAGGAGGAACAGAAAAAGAAACAACACAAAGCGGATTAATTCGGTTCCTCAGCGATACATGAGCGTATCGTGACTTTGGTAGAAGCACAAGTAGGCATCGCACAACAGCCGACGCGCGTGTTCCGGAAGCAGTTTCTCGTCCTTGACGCTCAAAATCTCGTGGATCCGCTCTTCCGACAGCCACCGATGCAGTCCGGGACAGCCCACGACCTCAGGGATGTTGTATCCATTGTCTTCACCTGCAAACAAAAGAGATGATTATCCATGAAGTCATTCACCCCGTTGACGAATGTAAATTACAATACTCTACTGAAGTTTGGAAACCTTTTTGACAATGACAGCAAATCTTTACGGAATAGCGCACATCTATCAACAACAAAATGTCCCTTTTTCATTACCGTCTTTTTCCCAAAATATCTTTTATACGCAGTACTCCTGTAATCTAAATAGTCTAAAATCTAAATAATCCAAGGCCTACAGCTAAACGAATAAAAAACAAACAACAAAAACATTTTTCGAAGCAGCGAGATTCTTGTTTGCCCATCGATTGAAATACGCTTCTTAAAGTCAGCTGGACCTCGCCACAAGATAAAAGAGACGAAAATTTCAAGCAAAAAAAGAAGAAAAAAAAAGACGAGCAAGTTCCTAAAATAAAAAAAAATAGAGCGGACATAGCTATATCGTATTGTACTGTAAGGAACTGCACTCACTTCGGTCGGCCATGGAATCAAAAAAGCACCAGGGGGCCTCGGCACCGGACCCGGCCTTCACAAAGGCAACGTAGTGCGACGTCTGGATGCAGACGACGGCAAAGAGCTCCATGAGCACGCGCGGCGGCGTCGGAGGGGCGACACAGCCGTTGGCGTACCCGCGAACCCGGGACGGCACAAAGTAGTCGCGCGCCTCCTGGCTCACAATCAAGACGCGGCTCTCGTGGTCAACGCGCTTCCGGTGACTGTGCACCTTGTTGAGACACGGCCGGCAGTAGGCCGTCGACTCCAGGCCCTCCTGCACGTCGTAGCAGTCGACGCACTCGACCTCGGCCAGCGCGCCGCACACGTGGCACGACCGGGGGGCGTCCAGCAACGCGTCCGTCACGTCCAGGGCCATGGACGGCTGGATCCGCGCGTACATCTTGAAGGACGGCCCGCAACGCGGCATCTGGATGATCAGGCAAGGCGGCACCTACGAAACAAAAACCCAATGCACGATTTAACCTATGGATCCGACAAATATTTTGCGATGGCTTCGAAAAGACTGAACAGGCCATTGATGAGGGCATTTCTTGTGAGCGACGTTGAGGTTCAAGACCGAAACAAAGTGTCGATTCATTTTTTAAAAATGTAAATTGTGAAACTCGTCAATGCCTATTTCGATTTCCTCCCTAAAAAACCTTCAAATATCAACACACAAAAACGAAATACGGTCCGAGGAATAACGCAGAATATGATCTAATCTCTCACACTTGACATAATGCCACACCTATAAAAAAGTAGGCTCTAAAATACAGTAGTTTGATCCTAATAAAAAAAATAAAATAAAGGGGACAAAGTTCAAGGTTCTAAAATATCTAAATTATTGGTTCCTGAGAATGATTCGTTTCTGCGTTTACTAAAATGTTTATTAGAACAATTTTGCAGATTTTTGTCGTTTTATAGGACGCATTTGCCTCAAATATTTTCCGAACTGAACGGATGTCTCCATGAAATTGCACGTGAAACGGGAATCGCAGATTTTAATGAGACTATGACGTTGGATTTTGCCAAGGAAAATAAGAAAGGACATACATGTTGTTCTTTTTTATATTTAGACAAAATTGTTACTTTCTGGAGCACACGATTGATATTGAGTCACTTTCTTTTCATGTTACCTCGCATCAATGCGAAAAGGAAGAACAATAAATACCTCACCTCTTTGAATTTCAAACTCGAACTCAGGAAACTTTGGTCGAACAGCTGTTGTACAGTAGGCAAGGCAAGGCGTTCATCCTTCTCCACCACGAGCTGGTACATGAAGGCTTCCTGACCCGTGGATAAATGGATCAACGGCTCAGCCCTCAAAGTATCTGATAATAATGACTGCAAGAACTCTTCCGGATCTGAAACATAATTCGAAATTAATGTTTAGGATATAAAGTACTGTATTGTACAATGCAGGCGGCCCTTCGATGCATAACCGGATAAATAATACCAGTACACATTCTTAGCGACGGTATTGAGGCAAAAATCCGTCAATCTACAGGAAATTCTGTCAGAAATACTGTATGACGATTCGTTGAAACATAATTCGTAGAACTACACTGATGGATTCAGAAGAAAATCTCGGACCGCGCTCTGAATGTAACCTATTACAGTACAATAATTTCCTCGATAATTTAGACCCAGCCACTCATAATTAAAGAAAAACTTTGCAAGCTGATGCAATCTCTCATCCAATTTCATTTTCGCAATAGAGTAAAAAGGATCCCTAATTTAGATAAGAGGATTTACATAGCGTAAATGTGCTATGAGATACAATATCAATACAATTCACTGCTTCGTACGTTAAAATGATTTTCTTAAACGCAGGTGTCACTGACAATTACGATTAAACTGTGAGTACACATTGAATCTTCAAATTACGTTTTAACACTTGTGCGGGCAATTAATGCAAAGGGACCAAGCAAGGATTGACTTTCATTACCTCTTCAGATACATGTAACAATTGTATTATAAAAATGTATTTAAAACCCTGAAAGGCAACTCGAATTTAGGATGTGCACAGCTGCAGATATTTTTGTCCTTCCTGCACTCAAGCCCAGACCCCCTGAGGCGTCACCACCTGTTGGGGGCCAGGACAGAGTTAAAAGCATCCTTGGGAGCAGCTG